CCACAGGTTTTGCAGACCCCTGTCCTAGACCAATAAGTGGGGTTTCCAAATTTACCAAATTCCACTAGGAAAGTCAAGCAAAGCCGCTAAAAGAAGAAAGCAGTGTCAATGCGCTTCGCTGTCACGACTTAGACGAAAAATAGTAGTGTGTAAACGGCATTTTATTTCTGACATGGAAATTAATGATCCAAACTCTGTGGATTACATTCCTATGTTACATCACAGATGTGCAAAAGAAATAAAATCGAGAACAACCTCTCGCAGCAAAAGAGCATGCTACTGGACAGATGAGAAGCTGGCCAGTGCAACAAAGCAGAATGAAAAACTCAACTGGTAGGCCTCGCTGGCCACTGCCTTTATTGAAGTTTCAGCCTGCAACTTGCAAGAAGGAGATTCTTCCTGCAACCAGCAAGAAATACCATGTGAGTTTGTCAAAGTGTGGTTTTAGGTTTATTTGGGTTTTTGTCAGTGTGGGGTTTATTTTGTTCTGTCAGCCTTCTGTTTGTCTCAGGTGTGTCCTCTTTACTGTGATTGTGTTTCCCTTGTGTTCCCAAGTGTTTTCACTCCTCCTATTAGTCATCTGTGTATTTAAGTTCTGTTCTGTGTCTGTCTTTGCTGGGTGCATTGATTGTCTCCTGTCAGGTCCTGATGGTCTGTGAGTAACTGTTTCTGAGTTGTTGTTGATGTTGTTTTTTGCACACTTCAAGTTTTTGATTGTATCCTGAGTTATCATCAATGCCTGTCACGTCTTCGTTTTGGAATTTTTGCCTGTCCAGTTCAGTGAGCCTTTGTTAATAAACTCTTTTCATTTTTTCGAGCACCTGGTCCCCGCCCCATGAGTCATACCAGCCCAAGCCTCTCTCCTGAGGAAGAAGCAAGTTCTGACAGTTAAATGTCATCAAACACATATTTGATTGAAGTTAATCATCCTCGAATCTGCAGGAGTTAAAATCAACTCTGAAAAGTTTAACAATGAAATTTTAACACTCTGGTTTTTGCTGTAGAACGTATCCAAAGGACCTTGAAGAAACTCCACATCAGTTCAATTATGAACTCGGACAGCTTCTGGTACATCCCAAGGATCAAATAGATCAAGATGATAAACGTAATGTGATATGTTAAATACCATGCAGTACTTGTGAAATAACATACATAGGGGAGACGGGACGGTCCTTTGCTACAAGAAAGAAAGAACATCAAAAAGAATGTGAGAAAAAAAACAGAAGAAAGACCAACACATACCGGAAAGAACAGGCATTGCAAGAAAACTACAAATCAGCCATCACTGACCACTGCAAATGGGAAAATCATATTATGGATTGGGCAAGAGCCAGAATCATCCGCAGAGAGGATAACAAACATCAATGTTGGATCATGGAGGCAATGGAGGCAATGGAGATTAGAAAGCGAGCCCACACAGCTATGAACCGGAATGAAGGGCCTACAAATGCTCATCTACTGTACCTGGAGTGACATCCTCCAGCAGTGAAGCCAGCAGCAGGCGGTGTCAGCTCATCAATATATAATTTCACTTATCTTCTAATCTCTCTTTCAATCTTTCCCATTATATTTCACTTTTTTCTTCTCTTTCTTTTTCTTAAAAAAAGTCACTGATGATGAAGAAACTAAGAAACTAATATTCAGTTCTGCTTTCTACTGAAGCAGCTTAAGAACAATAAAAATAAAAAAGACAAAATATAGTGGGATTTACTGGGACACAAGATTGAAGACACTCCCTTATGATCCTGACAGCTGTACATCAGCTTACATTGAATTAAAGAGCAGTAGCTCATTTGATGCTTTATATAAACATCTTCACAACAAAGCAGGATACATTATTGGAGGGGTGAAAATGGTGATTATGACCAGTCCAGTTGTAAAACAGGTCCAAAGTGGCAGCTGACACCCAAACATGAGCTTGTAGCCATCTTGATCAGACTTAGGTTAGGCTTGTTTGTCAACGACCTGTCTGCCAGGCCTTGACATCAGCTCTGCACAATTCTCAAGGATGTTTACCTCCTGGATCTGTCTCATGTGGCTGGAAATGCAAGGTCTGTGCCACGTACACCACTTTATGCCCATGGAAGCCACAACGGTCGCCAACCTGAGGTGCAGGATAGACCAAACAGAGTTTTTTTCTGAAGTACCGAGTTCCCTGKTTGGAAGCATCCCTCGCAAGCAGTGTCGTACAATATCAGGTATCTGGTGTGGCAGACATGGAACAGTCGGGTGGTCGCAGTGCTGGACGTCTCGCAGGTAGGAATAGCTCTTTAGTGAATTCATTTGATGAAAAAGAGGGCGTCARGCCTCGGTCAGGGCGCTATTTATACGAACTGAGGCGGGGTCACAAGGCAGGTGGGCGTGGACCACAAGTTTTCAGTGCTGCGCATGCGCATGAGGGATAAACCCAATAGCGATAGCATTAAAGGGCGGAGCCTATACGAAAAAGAACACATATCAGCTTGTTCATACACTGCTGTGAGATGGAATCTCATTCACAATCAGTATTTGTCACAAGTCAGAACATATGGTTGGGTTGTTGCTCAAAACTACAACTGTGGAACCATTTAAAGGGGAATAAAACATTATCTAGTTCTTTTAAAAATGTACCCATATATATATATTTATTGGTCTCAATTGTTTAGGAGGGAATTTTATACCCAACAGTATTTTTAACTTAATCAATTGAAATACGGCCACTTTTTTAGATGTTTATGTGTTATGAAACTTTTTTATTGCTTTTTTGCCAAATGACATTGTTTTGAAGTAAAATAGAAGAAAATGGCAAAAGGTAAAGCCGATTTGGTTTAAATGTGTAGTAATAGACATAATGTGTAATCTCATACAATATTTCAAGACCTGTTAGTATTTGTAGTACGTGTTAACAACACCTATCAGTTCCAACTACAGCTTTATTGCAATCTAGTGGTTCATGAAGTATTTCGCTAATGCTACAAAATGCATACACAAACATGGACACATCATCGCCTTTGGCAGCGGGTGAGATAAATGTTCATATGCTGATAAGACCCCTTGAGACATTTACAAGTCAACAGTATATTATCTGATCAGACTCTGTCCCTTTCTGTAGCTTAGTGTATACGTGGGAAGGGAACTGTTTAGTACAAACCTTCAATTGTTGTCTAGTTTTCTCCCTAGAGGACTTTGGTTTGTTATTGTAAGATAATGTAATAAATTTACAATAGGTTCTCAGTCCAGAGCCTATTTACATTTAGGTTTGGATAAAAATGCAATTTCAAACCATTAAAATTTATGGTTTGTTTAATGTTTCAGTAATTCTGCAGCCCTAACATCTGGAAAATTGTAGGCACTTTTTTTGTAGACAAAGACACAAATTTGAATGTGGAACTAATATGTTAAGCTTGAAAGCAAGAGGGTAGGAGCCATTCTGTGGTAACCTGATGACAGACTAGAAAGATGGTGCATGGTACTTGAGTAGTGTGGATGGTGCCAACCAAACATGGGTGGATCTAGAATGGTGTGGCCAAAACCTGTCTAATCAGTAACTCTTGTCATGAATTGCTCGATTGTGATCAATTAAAATAGCTTGCTTTTGCCAAATGTTTAATGCAAACTGTTACTTATTGGCTCATTGAAATATATTGTGTAACAGTTTTGGTGTGGACTATCATTAAATAATGAGTATTTCTTCATATCAAATTTTACAAATTTCTGTGGGAAAGAAGACTGTTATGAAGTGCAGAATTTGAAGACAGCCACAAGTTGTTTGAAGTGTTTAAGGGATTTAACTTTTAAAAAAAGGGGGGAATAATGTCTGGTATTTCCTGCCTGAAATAAATTAAGTTGGAGCATGAAGCCATCATCAATGGAAGTCAGATAACGCAATTTACCTGTCCATTTTTCGGYGCTGGAACTAGAAATTTTAATGACATATAGAGAATACCAACATATATTAAAAAATAAATAAAATAAGCAATACTGCTGCTGCTGTAAGAGAGTGTGTTAGTGTTGCAGAGAATTGCTGATCAAGTCAAAGCGTGATTATGATTTTACATGAATCTAAACCTTTATTCTTTACATTACTCAAGTGGATTAAAGTGTGTGTGCAKTATGTGTGTGTGTGTAAGTGCAACCCAGCCAGAACTAAACGGACATGGCAGCAAATACAGATCAGGTAAGATCCAGGTGTAAGCTCTTATGTTCAAACTTTAATTACATAACTCACTAGAGTCAACACACTGATTATGTCTCCCATAAAAAATGTGTATCACTATCTTCTCTTTGCCAATATTTAATATTGTACACTTGAAAGTAGCATTAGGATGTGTGTCTAATTAGTGCTTATAAGTGATAGTATGACCTTTATTTACAATGGATTGCAGTAAATTCAATGTTCCATCATAGGATGATGAAGAAACTGTCTGCTGCTACACAGGAGCAGACCCAGGTGCAAATTAAAACTACTGTGTAGTTTTAAAGTTTTACTTTTCACTGTGAATCAGAGTGACTTATTTTTCACAAATAGAGCTGTGATGGACGATCAGCTGAAGAGGCTCCATYTTCCTCTCGAGCTCAACTTTCTTCTGTACTAAAAAAAAACTTTTCACAAGATTGTTTCATTTAAAAAAAATATAAATTCTTTATACAAAAAAATAAGAATTTAAACCTTTGATCATAACCTCATTAGAGTAAAAATGTAAATGAAATTTGATCATTTTTCTGTCCCTGAAACTCTGTGAAACAGCTACAAGCTGGACTTGAAAGATTGAAAGCTGATCAAAAGTAAATCAAGAAATCTTGTTACAGATCAGGGTTTACTCAGGATAACTGCAATCTGGCTTTTTGAACCTGAAAACCAAAGATATGCACAGTTACTGTAAAAATTTACTCAGGATTTTCAATTATCCTGCTTTCTGAAATGGGGCCCTGGAGTTAATCATCCTTAAATAACCATCTCTTCACACTGGAGGAAAAAAAAATAGCATTACAGAAGAAAAAAATAAATCAAATAGACCCCATTTCATCTTTTTCTACATTTATTGTTCTTTTCTCAACATCAAACAAAACATACTGAACATCTGAAACAACTTCTCACACAAATAGCAGACCTTCACTGTTTTCTCTTCACAGCAAAGTTTAACGGCAAGTGAAAGAACCTGCTTCAGCAGAACACACATTTGTCTCATTCAAACTATGTAAACAATCCACTGCCAAGCTCTAGGAAAATTTCATACAAAAATACGTTTCCTTTTTCRATACATAAACAGAACATAGAACAGTGGCACATGCATTGATATATTGTACAGCTCTTTCAAAACACTACTTATGTGTTCACCTCCCAATAAACCAACACCTGACACCACTGGTCATATTGGTACGGTCTAGCTTGTGAAAGTTTGCAATCAGTCATAGAAAAACAGCTTTTTAAAAAGTTTGTACACTAGAGAACCAATTTCAATCTTGAATGAATTTAATAGAGTCTATGAAAAAATAAGTATTTATGGCAGCTTTGAGTCCATTTGTCTCATTTAAGACCGTGGAAGAACCTGAGCGATGGTGTCTCGAGCACTTTGGCTGAGACGTTCTGGGAACTTCACCTCAAACTCCACTATCAGGTCACCACGGCGCTCAGGTCTTTTGGGATACGGCAGCCCCTCCCCGCTTATTCGTCGCTTCATTCCTGGCTGCACAATATCTGTTGAGGACACGGTCACTGTTCTGCCATCCAGCGTTGGGACATGTACTGTACAACCACACAGGGCCTAATGGGACAGAAGAACATAGTAGCAATTAGAAACGTGATTCAKWAGTACAAATTCACAACAAATGCCWTTAATGGTTAAACGTAGCCTCGACTTACATCTCTGAGTGGTATCTTGGCAGTGTAGACGATATCTGAGCCGTCTCGTTTGAATACAGGATGTGGTTTGTCCTTCAACACAAAGACAATGTCCGCTGGAATGTTTCTCGGAGTCTCGTCGCCCTCTTTGGCAAATGTGATTTTGGTGCCTGCTTTCCACCCCTTCTTTATCTGCACCTCAAGGATTTTCTCCTCCGACCGCGTTGTTTGACCATCGGGGTTCAGTTTTTTGCGAGAGATCTTCATTTTCTTTGTGCAACCCTTCCATATCTCCTCCAACGTCACTTTGAGATCACGAACCACCGCTGGGTCCTGCTGCTTCTTTACAACGCTGTTGTGACTGCCCATTCCACCCATTCCTCCTCCCACGCCAGGGTTGAAGGAGCGAGAGAAACCACCCATTCCACCGCTGCCCATCCCAAAGCGAGAAAACGGGTCGTCTGTGTCCATGTCCTCATCCATACCTCCATTGCGAGCACCAAAAAACTGCTCGAACGGGTTACGGCCACCAAAAAATTCACGAAAGATGGCATGAGGGTCACCCTGGAAGGTGTAGCTGTAGGTTCCAGGACCACTGGTACCAGTGGGGCCACCTCCTCCTCCTTTGAGTCCTGGATGAGAAGAAACAAGTTGGGTTWATACTTTTATGCTAAGAGATGTGACATTTGCATGAACCTGAAGTGCATAGTTTCATTTCAAGGTCAAAGGGCATCAAATTTTCATTCGTTTTAAACTGATGACAATTTTTGTAAACACTGATTCTTGTTTTTGTAACGTCTTGGTCTTCCCGGTTTGTTTTTCAGTACACTGGCATAGATTATCAACAAATCACAAGGTTCATTTAGTCAAGTGTTTGATTCTGTAAATTATTTAATGAAAAATACTCTTTTTATTTGGCTCAAGTAATTTGTAGCAAAATACTGCATGTAGCATATCTAACATATGGCAAATTATTTGCGTTTACATGGTGCAAATTTAAGCTTTGGAAAGGTTCACAAGATATTAAAAATGTAACCAAAAACAATAATTTAACAACTAGGGCCCTGCAATTCCTGGGATGCAGAAAACCAGACAGAATTGACCAAACAAAATGGAAACCAGTGTAAAACGCAGACTCACAGAATTTGCTTATTTGGGTGAGTTTCTGAGGTATTTTGGCTGCTGCTGCTCCCTGTACCTACGGAGCCCGCTAAGGGACATGGGAGATTTTTTTTTGCGTTCCCACGCAATAGTATTGCGTTACCTCGCAATATCTTTTGCGTTCCCTCGCAAAAGTAGTTTATCACTGTTGTGCCTGCAGGTTTATTAGCAAACTCACCATTAGCGAGTTAGCCTACTGCTTTAATTCAGCTTCAGAATGAATATATCACACAGCCACGCATGAAAGTATGTCAGAACTAGGGCTGCCACGATTAGTTGATTAATCGACGACTAATCGATTATTAAAATAATCGATGACTAATTTAATAATCGATTAATCGTTTTCTTTTTCTTTTGTTCTTTACTTTGTTTTTTTCTCCAAACTGCTTTGACACCTTCCACTGCCACATCTGCCTTTATGTCCTTGACACACATGCACAGTAGTGGTAACTGGGGTAGGCYGTGGACGTCACAAGACATTATACAGACAGGCTCTGGTATCATGGCTACCTGACAACAGAGCTCAAAGTGTGGGATCATTTAAGAAAATGAAAGAGAAACCTGTGTAATATCTGCAGAGCAGAACTTACCTTCCACAGCAGTTGTTTTTAGTTAGCATATAGCTAAAATCTAACCATGGTTATATAATAGCAGCTGCATTCTGACGTGATAAGCTCTATGTTTTATATTCAATTAACGTATGATTCGATTAGTCGACTAAACGAAAAAATAATCGGTGATTAATCTATTATTAAAATAATCGTTTGTGGCAGCCCTAAACACAACCACGCAACATTAATGTCAATTTCACGAACTTGTGGCGACACATCCYGTTTTGGTAACTGGATATTTCAAAAYAAAAGTCTGATTTAATTCAGTTCATATACAAAACAATATTTTGCTAGGGAACGCAAAAGGAAAAAAAATCCCCCGTGTCCCCTCGCGGGCTCCGTATGCCATTGCCTGGTTAGTTAGGTTAGTTAGGTTAATAAATATGGTTACAATGAAAATGTGGAAGTCAGAGAAATAAAAAAAATTGGGGAAAAAACAGGTTTGGGAAAAAATAAAATRGATTTATTAAGGCCCTAAACAACTGTGCATACATTTTGTTTCCTATCAAAAAGTGACCGTTTTTGTCTAACTGTAAACATTAAAAACAAACAAGTTAAATTAGTAGCATCTCATTGTCTGTACGACGTACTATTTTAGCAACAATTTTAAGACGTACAAAATTTAGGTCATGGAAAAAACGTGACTTCATGAAGTTCTGATGCACAGTCCAACAAAAACTTCATGTTTTGACGCTGTGTGGCTAAAACCAAAAACGAGACGGCTGATGAAGTGGCCTATAATTATCTACACTCTTATATTAAAATGTTTAATTTTAGCATCACTAATGGGGTTAAGWGTGTGATAAATTTGTGCAACTACATCCTTTGAATATTATCACTCCTATAAGACAAACAGCATAGTTTTGTTTCTTTCTAGTTTTACTGATTTCTCAGCAAAACATTTMGTTTGCTCCTTAGACATTTGACCTTATTTGGTCTTCAAATGCCCTGATGACCGACGCCATGTTACTCAAAAGTTCGTGTCCCTTTGTCCACTGAGTGATAATACTCACGTATATGTTGGTTAAAAACAGCAAAAACGTTTTACATACCATTACTAATGTTCTAGAAAGCTTACCTTCTTCGCCATAACGATCGTAGATATCTTTTTTCTTTGGGTCGCTCAAAACATCGTAAGCCTCGGCGATTTCTTTAAATTTGTCCTCCGCTCCGGGCGACTTGTTCTTGTCGGGATGGTAGCGCAAAGCCTGCTTACGGTAGGCTTTCTTTATGTCGTCCTCCGACGCTCCTTTCTTTATTCCCAAAATGTCGTAGTAGTCCTTGCCCATTCTGACCGTCTGTGAAGCACAAATGTTAACAGAATTATAAACAACAGCTGTCCATAAAACCCAGCGTAGCTTCACGCCCCTTTTGAWAGTCGAAGGCGACGTGCGCGTCTTCGTGTCTTTTAAAGAGCGTGGAAACTTCCAGACGCTTCCATAACCTGCCTGAACAATCTGCACGTTAACGTCACGACGAAGCCACGCCCAATAGGAATATCATGCTGCTTTCAATGGCTGTCGGAAATTTTCAGCAGCACTGTCAAAATGCTGTCAGCGCAAACTATTTACACAACGATAAACACAAGAAGCACGTGCACAACACTACTAAATCGATTATTTAACTTCAGCCTATTTAAACACTTAAAAATCTCGTTTTAAAGTTGAAAAGTCTCGCTTCAGTAAATGTTTCTTGTTACCCGTGAATGTCGCAGCTTCAGCTCAAAAACAAGGCCGTGAAGTAATAAAAAATATTTCTCAATAAGCRTTTAAAAACAACTTTAAAGTTATTTCATGAACAGATGTTTAATCTATCCTAATGAAGTGAAACTTTTGAACTGTTGTCAAGTTTCTTTGACCTGGGTGTGGCTCAGATTAACTACACTCCTTTCTGTGACACAGAGGTGAACGAAGACATGTTGGTTTTCTTTTCTCATGTTCATTTTTAATGGAGTCATTTTTATGAGTTGAAAGAAAACAGATATAAAGCAAGGATGCAGCACACGCTAACTTTAATGGAATAAAACATGGTGTTCAAATCATACATCTGTTATAGATCATTTAAAGAATTTTCAAACTGACAGATAAGTTTTTAAACAACGAGCCGTCAAGTGGTGTACATGGTACTTGTTTGATCTTAATTTGCAATGCTTTAATTGTGTTTAAATCATAATGCACATTTGCACATTACACTTTAAAACAGGTTGTACAGTCCCCTTCTTGTTGTCATTATTATATYGTTCCCGTCTGATGTTTTTATCCTTAGTTCAGTCTCTTATTTTTACCTAATCAACATTGTTTGGGTCCTTTCGGTGATGACTCGTTTCTTTTGTTAATATGGTTATCTCTTGGCATTCAAAATGGACGACAAAGTAAGAATTTCATTGCTCAGGGAAACATGTTTTCATCTGTGCATATGACGATAAACACTTTGAATCTTGAAAATATTGAGACACTTTTTCCAAACACTAAACCTGATAATAAAAAAAGTATTTTTAACACATCTACAACTTATACTATGAATGGCCAGTGTATATAAATGCTTAAGTTGCAGAAATAAAAAGTTGGAACTTTGTAAAAGATAATTTGAATACAGTAAATAGTCTCACAGCTAGTCATTTTAATCGTTTGAGAAAATCCAATTATCTCATAACCTTTGCAGTTGCTTAAATTTCATTGGCTAACCTGCTGACAGTGGGGGCGGGTTCGCTTCATTGATCTTAAATCTGATTGGCTGCACTGATCACGCCGTATCCGCCCACGACGTCGTCAGCACGGCAGGTCCTTTGATTGGACGCTGCTCCGTCACTCAGGATATCGAGGAAGTTGCGTTTGCAGCCAAGATGAAGCACTACGAGGTAAGAAGTGTGTCCATACATATTATAAACCGTCGTTTGGGAGCCTAGTTCAGGCGAAATTTTATCATTTTTAATACTTGGGAGGTTTTTTTTTTGCATAACTTTCTTGTTTGTTAACCCTACCAGAACGTGAGCAGTGAAATAACTGGAGCTAGTGTCACACCGACAATCACGGACTGCTGGCTTATTCTGTAACCAGGCTTTATGTTTTTTATTTATTTATATAAACTGAAGAGCCACTCGGCAACTAAAACCCTCACAAGGCTATAGACCTACATTTGCATTGTACATTTGGTTAAAAAAAACATTAATTTCAGTGACTAATTTAGCTCTACACAGTTTTGTACAGACAGCACTCGGCACCATCATCTGGCTGGAATGATTCATGGCGATTCTTATCGTTTCTTACCCAATACTGCAGGTGAAGAGTCAAGTACGCAATCTAATCTTTTTTTTTAAACTAACTATAGGGATTTTAACTGTAGGAATTTTTAAATCCTACACCAATATTAAATCTGACAGGGGATCCCAAAAGAACATTMCAAACCYTACAAAATAACACCTAAATCATGATTATCTGAAGTATGAGGGAAGTTATTGATGTTTGTTTAGGTGAAATCAACTTTTTTTTTTCTTGCTGCAGTTCACAGCAGAACCAATGGGACCATTTCACCTTCTTGTTTTCTATTTTTGCTCATAACTTACTTAGTGTTCAAGATATCRCCATGAAATTTTAGGAAAAGATTCACATTCTGGTTTTGTAAGAAGCATCTTGTATCCTAAAAAACTAATAACATTTAATAATAGTCAATTCAAAAGTAGCAGAAAAGGTATAAAATAATATTACAAGGCAAACTGTAGCATCAAATCAACTTAATGTGTCTTATGATGCGTTCACACCGAACGCGATTTCAGCATCAGGAGCAGCAGGTTTACATACAAAGTCTATGGTGGACGCGCTTCAAGCAGCGTCGGGAAGTGCTGCAGCGCCTCGAGCGCAATTAGAGCAGCGCGATTTGAACGATATGAGCGTTCGATGTGCTTGATGCGCAAATCACTGGCTGTGTCCAAAACGGCAGGACGGGTCCTCCGGAGGACCC